GTGGAAGAAGTGGAGAGGGAAACACGCGAACTCTTCTTTCGTCGCGCCGACTCGGCTAGTGGGTACTTTTAGTTTTCCTCCCTAACCTTTCCACCCGCCCCTTCTCCTCTTTCTCCTCCTCTCACGTCCGGAAAACTCGCTTTCCACGGGAAAACCGCATTATCGTAAAGTTTGACGTTCCCTGTCGCGCGCCGTTTTGCCGCTGACAGTTTGTACTCGTTTTATTCCGCAGGATAAAGCGCCCACGGACCTAAAACAAAAGCGTACACGCCGCGAAAAATATCTCATAGCAAATTTATTCATCCGATTCTGGTAGGATGATTCTTGCAAGAAATTGGGACTCGAAGAAATTTAAATTTGGCATTCCTTCATTTCTTACACATTTGTTTTATTTTATTCTAGTAAGAATGTTAATCGCATAAAATATATTGATAAATACATATGTTTACGTGTATAATAAATACTGACAACTTCAAAATGTTTTAGTATACGTATGAGAAGCGTGTATTGATCGATATGCATTTAGATCCTGGTAATAGTATGATTATGGTACAGTCTTCTTATATCTTTTTCGGATCGGATCAAATATTTTTTGAGCTATATGTGAACTAGAGAACAGGAGAATTTACAATGATATCAATCACATTTACGTACGAGGTACATCACATTTAATCATATTTTCTCTCAGCTGTTTTATCACAACAATCTAATAATTCTCTTCTACTAATCTCATTGTTAGACAACTAATACATCAATTAAATTACGGCATCCAACATCCGCAATCTTAAAAAATCGAACAAGCAGTAATACTCGTTTCTTCTTTAAGCAAACGAGAAAATAGAAACTACCAAATTCTAAATCTTTTTTTTTTGTTCGAAACACATTCTTCGTCCGAGAAAGGCTCCAATTAATAGATTATTCTTCCAGAGAAATATTGAAGCAAGTTACAAGACACGAATCAAACGCAAGCTCGGAAGCGGCTTATTAGAAGCAAGCGCATCGCTTTAGTTTCAACGTGATTCTATCAATTAATATGTTTCATGGGACATGACACACACATTGTATATTCACGGGAATAGTGCGTTTAATTATGAAACGGTTATCATTGCCGCAAGTACCCGCGATAATCGAGAATCGCCAGGGCCCCATTTTCCATTATAAGGGCATAAGCCAAGGCATGCCTATGGGGTTTGTTTTCATCTCATCCGTTAGCCTGCTAACTAGGGAAGACGAGGCCAAGACGTTTAATCAAAGTGGAACAAATATTCATCCAAAGAAGTAGTACAAGTAGAAAAGAAATGTATCGATATACACATATGTGTGTGTGTGATTGTGAATAAAAACAAAGAAAAAAGAGTAATTTCACAACCAAGCCATCAACGAATCCCCGATAAAAATACTTGGATGAATATTTGAAGAAATCATACAGATAAAAGAAGAAATTAATAGGAAACAGAGAAGAAAGGTGAGCATGCGAGACGGATACATAAATAAAAAAATTAATTGCACTACCTGATATCTCAACCAGTCCTCGATCAAAACGTTCAATGAAGATACAGACAACAATCACTTAAAAAAATTACATGTATGAAGAAGGACTTAATAAAAAAAAAAAACAGAAAAATAAAAGAACAGAGTTTGAATAGGTCAATACGTAAATAAAAAATAAAAAAAATTCAATTTCATAGTACAATCCAATTAACGAATCTTCGATCAAAATATTCGATCAGAATACAACGAATATTCGACAAAACGGCTAGCGTTCAAGGGGGTAAAGAAGCGATCGGCGTCGGGACGCCGCGACGGATGAACAATTTATCCGCCGCGCCGGATGAACGATTTATCCGCCGCATTCGCGTCGACATCGCCCCGCGACTTGCTGTAATTACTACGCCGTGTTTAAGTGGCACCTCATCGACTAATTAGCGAAGCTATCGCTGCCATTTTAATAGAACACGGACAACCGTTCGCGGCAGACCGTGATCCCTGGGCTGTTATTGCGGCGTGAGCCGCGTCGCGTCGCGCTGAAATCTCG